GGGTCGGCCAACTAGCTGCACCCCGCGCCGGAGTTCCTCGACGCGGGCCCTTCGCGGCACGACGCGTCTGGGCCCCGCCTGCTTGCCGGGCAGGTTCACGCGCCTCGTCGGCGGCAGCACAGGGGAGCCTTCCATACCACCTGATTGGCTCGTGCGAGTCGACTCGAGTCGACGCTACACTGGCGCGCGAACCTCCACAGTGACTTTGGGCATTGACCGTGTGCCAACACAGGGTAACGCCAAGAACAAGCGCAAATGAGCATAACACTGACTCGGGCGTGGCGCGCTAACCATGGAGAATTAAAACGTTGGGGGTACGTGTCGATTTTGGTGTTGTGCGGCGTTGTGTCGACGTGCCGATTTCCGAAGCGCGCGTTGTCTCAATGCGTTGATGGTTTGCGTGCCAAAAAATGTTGCAGGTTGATTGCGCGAGAATCCATGTTCTGCAACATGCGTTAGTTGTTGTGTATGTGTTGGTCATTGTGTTGCGGAGATCGTTCCAAAATGTTGGTTTCGTCACGAAATGCGTTGATGCTCGCACGTGCTGTTAGCAAAAGTGTTGCAATGCCGCCCATGCGTTGTCAAAAACGTCGGTGCTTGAAAACCGTGTTCGCGCACGCGCTGATCGCTTTAAAGTTCGATTCCCACAGTGTCATTCGAATCAGGTTTGAACGCGACGCCTTGCGCATCCGACAGTGTCGCCACTTGTGTTAAATCAAGTCGTACATTCTCCAGCCAAGCAGCGCCCGCGCAGGGCGCGTGGGGGAAGCGAAAAGGCGGAGTCAGAGGATAATTGGGGAGAAGGGCTCGGAATCACGAGGAGCAAGAAGAGGAGGAGGAGGAAGAGAGAAGGATTCTGGCCGTGGGCGCCGTGGATCCTGGATTGGACCCTACACTCTGGCCGTGGGATCCTGGTTTCATTGTGTCAGAGTTTCTTAAATCTTAGGTTCCTCTCCTCCCTTTCCCTGACAGTCTCTGCTCTGACGCAGCGCACTGACAGCAGTTGCAGTGTATATACAGGAACTTACGCCGCACGTGCATTATCGTTCTATGTGTTTGTCTTTATTTTCACAACTGGCAGTGTACATATGTCACATGTATTTAGTTGTCCGCGCACCGAAAGTCGCACGTTGTCACGCGTTCTGAATTATGCAATGCGTTAAGTGGGGTGATACGTGATAGCTGGTGCATGTGTAGCGTTCACGTAATTATCCGACCCTCCTCCGCCCTCTCCCAGCTGATGTTTGCTGGCGTCCGTCGGCGACACGCCCGTTGTTGGCAGGTGATTGCAGGGCCTGCCGCTGTCGTTCCTCCTCTCCGCTTTCAAGCAGGCTCACGAGTTTTGAGTTCAGCGCAGGTTTTGTTGGATGTGTCGCAACCGTGCTGCATTGCATACTGCGCGCTGCGCGCGCGTGCGTGCGCACGCAGAGAAAGGGGGCAGCGGCGGGGCTGCAGGCTCAAGGCCAAGGGCGGACGCGCTCAAAGGAGAGCTGCCCTGCAGAGGCCTCCACCGCCCGCCCCTGGACCTTTCTCCAAGTTCAAGAGCTTCGAACAATGCGCATATTCGTTGGATGCGTTGCGAAGGCCCAAAGCGGGGGCGCTGGAGAGGGCCAGCGGCCACCGACATCGCTTAGCATCCGATTCGCCCGTTCTTTTTCGCGCTTCCATCGCCCATGCGGTCATTGGTCGCGCGCTTTCATGTTCGGCGCCGTTCCCGATCGGTTCCATCTCTCCCGCGACGGCTGCCGTGCGCTTCCGACGTCGACGCCCGTGTTCTCCAAGGCCCCTTCTTGCCGTGACGTCCGTGGCGACTCCCGACGCGTCTCCCGGCTCCAATGGTTGGCGCGGTTCTCCGCGTCCGTTTTGATGCGAGCGACGATCGCAGCGGTTTTCCCAACAAAAGTCCAAACGTTTTTCCCAGCGCCGAGCGAAAGTCCAAAAGTCCCAACGCTCTTCCCAACGCCCATTTGAATGCCAAAAGTGATACAAACTCAGTAGACGTGTCGAGTTCGCTTTCGATTCCGCTCTCGATTCCAGAGTCGGGTCCCGACGTCAATTTTGATGCCCAAATTGATACCCGACGACAATTTTGATGCCCAAATTGATACAAACTCAGTAGGAGTGTCGATTTCGGTTTCGATTTCAGAGTCGGTTCCCGACGCCAATTTTGATGCCCGTTTTGATGCCCGAATCGATACCCAACGTCGGTTTTGATGCCCGCATTGACACAAACTCAGTATAAGTGCCGATTTCGGTTTCGATTTCGCTGTCGATATCAGAGTCGGCTCCCAACGTCAATTTTGATGCCGAGATCCACACAAAGCCAGTAGAAGAGTCGATTTCGGTTTCGATGTCAGAGTCGGTTCCCGACGCCAATTTTGGTGCCCATATTGATGCTCGAATGGATTCCCAACGTCAGTTTTGATGCCCGAATTGATGCGCACTCAGTAGAAGGGTCGATGTAGGTTTCGTCTTTGGCGACGATTTTCGAATCGGCTCGCGACGCAAGAACTTCTGCCCAAAGCAATGAGTTCTATAATCACCAGGACATTTCCCAACGCCAGAATTGATGCACTTCACGTTCCGACCTTCTTCCCAAACTTAACGGCGACGGTCGCGCCGTCAAATTGATATTGATGCGCGTTTTAGGACCTCCGAATTTTGCAAAGTACCCCTCCCCCCCCTCGCCCCCCCCCCCATCGCAGCTTGTCGGGTGAGATTCCTGCAGAGTTCCCCCTGCCCCTCTCCCCAGACACCCGCCGCGCGGTCGCCGCGTGGCCGCCGCCCCCCCCCCCTCCCATCCCCGCGCGCCCCGGCGTCGCGCGCTGCAGTTGCGCGCAGCCCCCTGGCCCCCGTCGGGCGCGACATATTCGCGCTTCCCCCCCCCGAGCCGCGCGTCAAACGCGAGATTGTTTCACAGACCTTCCTCGCTGCCGACGCCTCCTTCGCGCCGCATCGGACGTGCGATTTCTGCAAAAGTCCCCCACCCCCCCCACCCGCCTGCCGGCGCCGCCGGGCGCGCCTTGCGCGCGCTGTTAATTCAGGGCTCTGGGCGCGCAACGACGCTGCCCCTTTCTGACTTGCTTGCTCCCCCCCGCGGCTGCCGCGCCTCGGCCGACGACGGCCTGGGCGGTTTGCGAACTCTGATCACGAGCGAATGCAACGGCAGAACGGCTCATGAGGCGCCATGGTCGACGGCCAGCGTCGGCGCGGACACTCAGGCGCGTGGCTTGCCGCGCCTGGGCCCTGGGGCCCCCGCCGCGCCCCGCGCGTGCGCCCCAGGGACTTCGCCCCCAATGCGGCCGCCGCCATCCGCCCCCCGTGCCCCGCCCCCCTTCGCCCCCGCTCTTGCCCTCCGGCCCCCCCATTATTCCCCCCCGCCCCCCCCCGGCCCACGCGCGCGCGCAGCCCTGCCCCCCCCCCCCCGCGCCCCGCCCCACCGCCCTCCCCCACCCCCCGCGCGCGCCGTGCATTCCCAGCGGGTTCCCTGGACAATCCCGAGTGAGTGCCCACTGGCGATTCATATTTTCGAAATCTCACAGCGTCCGATGGGTTTCTTGCGCGCCGCGCCCTCCGTGCCCTTGCGCCCGTGAGTGGGCATTTTGGAACGGGCGCCCGCGTGGGCAACCGCGATGGGCGGTGGTGCCATGCGGTCATCCAAACCGGGCCCATCTCTGTAACAACTGTCCGACCCCCCCTCGCCGCCGCCACCTCCCATCGCCGCCGCTGCCGAGAAAATCGCCGCCACGACCACCTGCGCGACCGCAGCCGCCTTCCCGTTTGACATGTCCCACGGCGATTTTCAAACGGCCAGATGCAGAACGCACCGTAATTCAGCAGTGTCGGCGAAGGCCGAAAAATGACGCATCAAACGTGTCTGGAAAGTTACCCATCGCTCCAAAGCAAGACCAAGTCATACCATGCACCCCGTGAGCGGCAGCACGAGTCATACCCAGTCATACCATCAAAACCAAGCCAAACCAAGTCATACCATAGTCCAGGACGACGCGAGGAATCGCACCAAAACGACTTGGTATAATATTGGAAAGCCTCGATATTGTACCACGGCGCTCTCACAGCCGGTACCGGTGCATTGCAGTGCCCGAAAAACTTCGTATTGTACCAAACGCGTTTGGTATAATTCGCGTTTTTTTATGTATTTTCTCACATGCGGGCCTGGCCGAATTGCACTTGGTACGGTACCCAAAAATTGTATAATACGAAGTGTTCTGGCATTGTACCGGAGCTTCGTCTGGCACGATACCTTGCGTCGTCTGGGACAGTGCTTAGCTGTGGTGCGACAGTGCGGTGTGTTGGGGGCGCGTTGCGAAACTAGGTAGGATTAGCGGGCATGCCGATCATATTTTGACACCCGCGATCGCGGTCGCGTCCCCCGCGACCAAGTTGGTATTGGTTGGCTCCCGTTTGAAAGCGGGCTGGTGGTCAAAAGCGGGGTCGGTCGTTCGCCTTCTAAGACGTATCGCCGATACATCGCCGATACACCCCGACCCCACCTATTCGGACCCCGTCTAGGAGGCCTTTTATCGACGCCAGTGCATTCTGACGGAATTGCGAGGGTATACAACGCACACGTGATTGGCTACCGAACACCCCTGTGTCGAAGAAGAAACAATGGCACAAACATAAACTTTTGGCTCTCCGCGCGGAATTCTCAGATCGGCGCTTGGGACCCCCCGGCGGCGCGGCTCCAAGAAATCCGCGCGGAACGCCACAAGTTTATGTTCATGCCGTTTGTGTATTATTATTATTATTATTATTATTATTATTATTCTTATTGTTATTATTATCATCATTATTTTTTTTTATTTTTTATTTGTTTTATTATTATGATTCGTCTTCTTATGTTTCATCTTCTTCCTATTATTAGTATCGTTATTTCATGCTTCCGTTCATTATAATTTTATTATGTTTATTGTCCCTCTGCTTCTTCTTACTTTATTTTTGTTATTATTATGTGTATTCTCCTGCTGTGTGCCGAGGCATGCCGTCGGGGCACTCTGGCTTCGCCGTTGGCCTGTTCTGCGTGCTCCTGGCGGAGTGCCTGCGGGGCCCGGCCCCGGCCCGCCTCGGCCGCGCGGGGCAGGTGCCGGGGCCTCCCCGGAGGGGGGCCGAGCAGGTGTTGATGGACCTGTTTTCCATGACCACCACCATCAGCTGCAGGGGGGAAGGAGGAGGGGGAGGAGGAGGAGGACGGGGGAGGAGGAGGAGGCGGAGGAGGAGGAGGAGGAGGCGGAGGAGGAGGAGGAGGAGGAGGAGGGGGAAGAAGTGGTGGAGGAGGAGGAGGACCCCCTCCCCGTCCAACTCATGGTGGTGGTGGTGGTGGAGTCAGCGGCGAGCCCTGGGGGGCAGCGAGAAGGGGCCCCCCTCGGAGGATCGGAAGCGGTGCCGATACCGCCATACCCTTCGCGCCCGTTTTCCCCGAGGCCCTCGTCGCCACCGCTGGATCCGCCTCGAACGCCCGGTCAGAGCGCAACCTGGGAGAGTCGGGAGCCTCGAGACGGGGGTCAGTGCAGACGGGGGTCAGCCAGGGCACCGGATCCTGCAGGATCCTGCGAAAACCCCCTCTGGCTGACCCGGGTTAGCGAGCCGCTCGTGGCCGCGAGGCGGCCGCTCGTATTGGCTGACCCGGGTTTGCGAAGACCTGCGTTGCAGTTGTTTTTTCCTGCATTGCAGTTCTTGGTTTCCTGCTGACCCGGGTCTGGATTGACCTGGGTCAGAAAACCCCCGGGAGAGGACCGGGGAGCAGCGGTATTGGTACCTTTCGGTTTCCCTAGGAGGGGCAGGCCTTCTCAGAAGGCTCGGAGGCCCTCCGGCTTTCTGAGAAGATCTCTAAGCTCGGTATCGTTTAACCGATCCCTATCCCAATCCCCATCCACATCTCGAGCCCCACCGTCTCACCACCTCAGTTGGAGATAACCGCATGCCGATGATAATAAAGGGACCCCCCCCCTTCAGTGTTTAGAGTTGATTATCGTCGCCCTATACAACATTCAAATTGGGCGGCGAGCGCTGAGGCCGAACTTCATTATCACCTCGAAACGCTATGTTTAGATACCCCATGCCCATGCCCATGGTTTAAGTCCTTCCTTGTTTTTTCTTTATGATGTATCTCTCTCTTTCTCTCTCTCTCTCTCTTTCTCTCTCTCTCTCTCTCTCTCTCCATGCCCCCCCTCTGAACTTTTTTATCCCTGGGGTTGATTATCCATGGAAAATGAAGCACATGAGCTACCCTACACGAGCACTTAAAAATTTTAATTTTCATAAAGCGTTTGTAAATAAAATCTAATACATTTGAACTTGGGATTTTTCCTCTCTTTCTCCTCCTCCTCTGTTTTCTTTTCTTTTTGATTTGTTTCCCTTTTCTTGTTCATTTCTTATTGTTTCTTTTTGTTTGTGTATATCGCTTTCTCCATTCCTCCGCCCGCCTGAACTTTATTATCGCCGCGGTTGATTATCCAGGGACACCGAGGCGGATGTCCCAAGCGAAACAAGCGAAACAAGCATATACTGAAGGATGTCTCAAGCGAAACAAGGGATTTGTCGAGGATGTCTCCAGCGAGATAAGCCATTGTTGATGATATTTCTATGAAAACTAAACGCCAAGGATGTCTCAAAACGTGCTCGGCTTGGTCTCCTCTTGATCATCTCTTACTTCGAGATTATGCTGAGGTCTGCTGGGCTACTTTTATTATCTCTCCCTGAACCCCGAACTTTATTATCCCCTAGTGTTTATTCTCACGGGCATGAGGTTATGCCCCTCGAAACCCGAAGAGAGCAGCCTACATCCCCTATCAGGGGGGTAAATCGGCAAGCGGGGCCCTGCCCACACTGGTGGGGATGGGGATCGGTTAAACGATGCTCATAAGCCTTCCCCGGAGACGCAGGGAATTTCGCAGAAGGTGCGAGGGCTTCGGAGATGCCCCGCCGCCTTCTGAGAAGGCACGCGCGCGCCTTCCCACTCCCCCGACCCTGGGGCGCGCCACCGAGTTGGAGGATCGCGCCGCATCGCAGATGCATCGGCTCGATGCGGCTGGCTCGATGTGGAGCCCGCTTTTCTCCACGCCGACGGCGCGGATGCATCGCCGGCGTCGCCGGCCAATGCTTCGCCAATGCATCGGCGATGCGGCGCGATTTCTCCGACACCCCACCCACTTCGACCCCATCTGGGAGGCCTCTAAGGTGGCCGGGCTGGTGGTGTCGCTGTTGCCCATAGGCTTGCTCCTCTTTCCCCTCCTCTCTTCGGTGTTTCGGCTTCCAGTCGGATGGCTTCAGTATCGTTTAACCGACACCCATCCCCATCCCCATCCTCTTGGAGACCCCCACCAAATTACCCCCCCAGTTGGGGATACACCCTCGAAACCCGAAGGGACCGGCCTGTATCCCCATCGAGGGAGGGTAAATCGGCCAGTGGGGCCCAGGCCACGCCGCTGGGGATAGGGATCGGATAAACGATGCTCATTGCGCTTCCCTGAGATCTTGGAGTTGCAATTTTGGCACCGCGGGCGGATTTGCCTTGCCTCGAGCCCTGGGGCCACAGATCCGCAGCGCTGCACGAGAGGACACATGGTGAGTCCATATGGGAATTCACGCGCTCGATTCGGTCACGGCAGGGTCACGGCATGAGACCGCATGGTATGCGGGCGTCATTCCCCAATCAGTGCTTGCACTGAAGGGGTCCTGGCCGGTTGGGTTCCCGGGTTCTTGGTTATTGGTTCCGGGCCAATTTCGGTGGGATTCCGGGTTCCCAGCTTCCCGGTCGATCTCCATCTCGATCAAGCCATCCGTTGATAGGAGTTTGTCTTTGGGGTAATATGTTGTTTGCATGCCAGACCGCGGGTACAGCATCGGGCCGAACGAAATGGGGGCATAGGGAAAGGGGGGGATTCGAAATCTGCTGCATGCAGCTGGTTTCGGCCCCGCCGCCGGGGCCAGCCCTCGCAGCCCTCGACACCTGGGCGCCTCCTGGCGCCGAGAGGCGCCGGGAAAAGCAGCAGCGTCAGCTGCTTCTCACCCCCCCCCCTTTGCTGTCCACCCCTTTCGCCCAGCCCGACAGCGCCAGCACTTCGGATGCAACTCCTGGGAGGTCAAATTTTCGATTTTGCCCTGGTCCGAAGTCCGGCTGAATCCCGCTGAATCCCGCTCATTCCCGTTTGATCCGGCTTACTCCCGCTTGATCCGAAGCCCACTTTGGCGCAACAGCCCCGCAGGGCTCGTTTCGACACCTCCGATTCGATTCGATTCGATTTCGATGGCTTCCGATTCCGGTTCGATTCGACTTGGGATTCCGATTTGGGTTCCGATTTCTTATTGAAGGCCTACTAGCCTGCCGATTTCCGCCGATTCGACTTTTTCCGACTCGGCTGCCGATTTCCGCCGATCCGATTCATGTCGATCGCCGATCCGACTTATCGATTCGATTCTGCGCTCTCCTGGCCCCGCAATGGGGCTTAAAATCCTCGTCATTTTTTTTCCGACGACGACCTCCCAGCAGTTGCTTCCTAGCAGCACCAGCACGGCACGCGCACCACACCGCACGCTTGCGGCGCATCCTCTCACTGGGGGAACAACAAGTGGCATAAACACAAAAACTCGGAGGTCCGCGCGGATTTCTCGCATCGGCGCTGGACCACCCCTCCCTGGCGCGCCTCCGGCGCCAGGGGCGGCGCCGGAGGCGCCGACTGGGGGCCCCTGGCGCCGATCCGAGAAGTCCGCGCGGACCTCCGAGTTTTTGTGTTTATGCCACGTTTTGTGCCCCTAACTCACGGGCCAGAGCGCGGGCACGGCGCGCACGCGCGGCTCGCCGCGGCGCTCGGCGCGCGGGCGGCGCACACGTGTGTCGCGCGCTGGAGGTGCGTGTGCGCGGCACGTGCGCTCTGCGCGGCCACGGCACGGCGCGCGGGCGCGACACCTTTTAATGGCGCGGTCGGGAGCGCAAGGGGGAGAGAAGTAGAGAAAGGCAGAGCCAGATCCACCTGCCCATGTGCAGAGAGAGCGAGGGATAGAAAGAGTGGGAGAGAGAGAGAGAGAGAGAGAGTGTGAGGGAGAGGGAGAGAGAGAGAGAGAGAGAGAGAGAACCGATATAGAGAGAGAGAGAACAGAGAAAGGGATACATATGGACAGAGACAGAGACAGAGAGAGAGAGATATAGAAAAAGAGAGAGAGAGGAAGAGAGAGAGAGAGAGAGACAGCGGCAGAGACGGAGAGCGAACTCGAGGGCGACAGGCAGAGCGAACGGGCGAGGGTGGCAGTCAGGAGAAAGGGGCAGGGAGGGAGGCACGGAGGCAGGGGCGTGGGCCCCGGGAGGCTCGGTCCCCCCCTGCCCGAGCGCTGCCGCCTCTCTCTCGTGGGCCGCGGCTGGACGGCTCACGGGGGGGGCCCTGGCGCCAGGGCCCCCGGAGGCGGACGAGCGGCAGGCAGTCCGAGCGCCGTGGTCTCTCGTCTGCGAGAGTCCAGTCGGGCCGGTCCCTCTACAGGAGGAGTGTTCAAACACAGCGACACACCTCTGGGGACGATTTCGCGCAAATTGTTGGTGTACTTGTTTATTTTCGTTTTTTTTTTTTTTTTTTGTTAAATTTTCGCCCACCAACCCCCTGCAGGGGGAGCGTGCCCGACCTATTATTGCGAGGGGGGGTGGGCCAGAGGAGGCAGCGGGCAGCTGCCCGCCCCTTCGGGCCGGGGGGGGGGGCACCTCTCGCCGGCAGGCTGCTCGCGGGTCGCCCTGCGGGACCACTCGGTGCCCCAGGTGCTGGTGGGCAGCGCCGTGGGCGCCGCGGGGGCCGGCCTGTGGTGCTCGGGCCGGCAGAACTGGAGACGAATTTCTCAACACGCCGCGAACCTCGAAGAGAGGAAACAAAAAACACAAACACAAAGTTTTGGCGCTCCGCGCGGATCTCTCGGATTTCTCGGATTCGGGCCGGCAGAATTGGAGACGAATTTCTCAACACGCCGCGAACCTCGGAGAGAGAAAACGAAACACAAACACAAACTTTTGGCGCTCCGCGCGGATGTCTCGGATTTCTCGGATTCGGGCCGGCAGAATTGGAGACGCAATTCCTAGCATTATGATGTTCCAACCTACTTTAGCCTTGACCACCAGGAAGGCTTTCGAGCACCAGATGAAAATAGGTACCGAAACTCTAGGGTTTTCACGTGTCGGGACCTGGGAGACACTCGTCCGACACTGCTTCGACACTCTTTCGAAACCTTTCGACACCCGGTGCTCAAGATTTTTTCTGGGATGTGGTCCTTAAGTACGATGGGGGCAACATAATCTTAACACTTCGCGTATCCCAGCGGGCACATCCAGGAACGACGCCCAGGGGAGCTGCCTTTCAGGAATGTGGCATCATTCGGATACTCCGGGGAGCCTCAGTGAACCACAGGCCATTTGATTACCTCCCAGAGTCGCTCGGGATGTCTGCTGTGCGGGTTTTGGTGGTCTCGCATGGCGTCTTGGGGGTCTCTTCGGGGCTCTTTGCAGCTTCTGGAGGCGCGTTAGGGGCCTCTCTGGAGCATCCGAGGGGCCTCTTGGAGCTCTTTTTGTGCCCTTTTCGGAGCCTCTTAGGGCCATCTTTGGAGGACATGGTCGAAAAAAGGGGGATCCTTACTCAGCGTTGCCTCTCTAGAGCTCCTAAAGTCGCTTCGTGGGGCTCTCTTGAGGCGCTCTCCGGTTACTCTCCTCTTGGGCCCTCTTGGGGCCACCTTGAGGTCTCGGAAGGCCGTCGGAAGCGAACGGGCGAGAAGGCGAAACTTATCGATTCGTTTCAGGTTTGGGGTAGATGTTAGCCTTTCGGGGGCGCCTTGGGAGCCCCCGAGGCCACTTAACCCGGTTTGGGAGCGGTCATGGAACCTCTTGGAGCAGATTTGGAAGCAGCGCGGTTTTTTATACTAAGTTTTCAAGGCTGTTGGCCTGCGCGAAGCAAGCAGTATGAGGCCCCCCCCTTCCCTGACAAAAAGCATTGCAACTTCCTCGCGTGGCGCCCGCGCATGCTCCAGATTTGGAGGCAAATTGTGTGTTGCATGGATTTTGTCAGTAATGGTCGGCCTGCGCGCAGCAAGCAATATAAGGCTCCCCTCCGTTCCTGTGAAAAAGGATGCAAAGTGGTCGCGGGGCGCCCGCGCATGCTCCAGATTCGGAGGCAAAGTTTATTTCGCAGTGCTCCCAACTATCCCGTGGTGTTGGGTCTTCATTTTGAAGAGACAGTGCCCCGCGTCTCTCACTCCTTCCTCCCCCCGCCTCACTCCTCCGTATGCCCTCAGCATGCCATCATCGCCCACGTCACCGTATCACCGTGATCATCACCATCACCGTCAACATCATGCTTGTTGCCGTCATCGTCGTCATCGCCATCATTATCGCCATCATCGCCCACGAACGACTCGCTGCCTACTTCCACGAATTCGAGTTAGAGCGTGGGAGCGCGCGGTGAAGGCCTGGGCCGGAAGCTGAAGGCATTCTGGCTGCATCTGGCGATTATTGAATCGCTTCGCTCATTCCGCCGGCCCGTGATATGGCATCGCTGGTTTTTGTCTGTGTGTTCGTTGCCCATGTTGCGCTCTTGGGGGCGGGTGTCGTTCGGACGCGTTGCGTGGGGAGTTTTGATGGTGAAGCAGTTCCCTGGGGGTCGTCTCTCGATGGGGCGAAATAGAGTCGTCGTCAAGATGCTTCTTTGGGGGGCCTCTTGGGGTCTGTTGAGAGGCCGTTCGGGGGCGCCTGGGAGACATGTTTGAAGCCTTCTGGGGCTTCTTTTGGGCCTCCTGGGAGTCTCCTGGGGCCTCTTGGCGACATCTTGGGGCCTCTTGGAGGCCTCTTGGGGCCTCTTTGGGACCTCCTGGGCGCCTTCTGGGACGGAGGGCTCCATTTTTGAGTTCTCGGTATCCCTCCTGAGTCCCTCTTGGGCCCGTCTTGGGGCCTCTTGGTCCGTCTTGGGCGGCACTTGGGCCGTCTTGAGGGCTCTCTTGGGTCGTTTCGGCGCCGTCTTGGGAGCTTCGTGGGCCGTCTTGGAGCGGTCTTGGGGGCCTCTTGGGCCGTCTTGGAGCGTCCGGAAGCCGAAAAAGCCAGAACACAAAAAACATCGAAAAAACCAATGAAAATCAACGATTTTGGCCTCTTGGGGCTCTCTTCGGAGGCCTCTTGGAAGGCTCTTGGGGCGTCTTGGAGGCCTCTTGGGCTGTCTTGGGGGCCTTTTGGGCCGTCTTGGGGTCATCTTCGGCGTCTTCGAGCGCTCTTTGGGCGTCTCGGGGGCCTCTTGGGCAGTCTTGGGGGCCTCTTGGGGCACTCTGAGCGCGCTCTGGGGAGCCTGAGAGGCCGCACCCAGAAGGAAAACCATCTCTGAGTAGACTTGGTCGGGCGGCGGTCGGGCGGCGGTCGGGCGGCGACCGGGCGGCGACCGGGCGTTGGTCGGGGTACTTTTCGCCGGGGGACCCCCAGGGGCCGCCCCGCGCGCGCGAACTAGAAATACTGTTAATACTGTTAACCAGTTACCGGAGATCTTAGCACGCCCTGGCCCGTTGGGCCGGCGAATTTACCACACGCTTCACCCCTGCTCACGCACCGTCTGGTGCAGGGCGTACTCGACTTGACTTGACACCCCCGTCGTCGCCGGCCCAAGGCGACCTGCCCCACACGCGCCTCGTGGCCCCACAGGGATCGGGTATAGCCAGGACTCCAGGTAGGGGGACCCGGTTAGACCCGACGCCGTTGTTTTACCGGTTCCGCCACCGTGGTTTGACCGGTTCCGGCTCCGGTTCCGATCCTGGAGCCGTTTCTTTGCCGTTTCCGGTCGCCGTTTTTTTTGCCGATTCCATTTTCAAGGGACATTTTTTGGAAACGGTGAAAAAACGGCCCTGCCGTTTCCGGGGCCCACGAAGGCCAGGACTCCAGGTAGGGGGACCCGGTTAGTGGCAGGGCCGTGGAGCCCCTAAATTGGCCAGAATCACTAAACCAGGCCTGCCGCAGCTGGTGTTTCTCGGGCGACGGCAGTTCCGGCCAGTGGAACGGAGCCCGGGGGGCGCCCCCCAGTCCTGGCATCGCTCGGACGTGTGCCTTTTTTTCTCGGCGAGGGCCATCGAGGAGCATCCCTGATCACCTGGCGAAAAAGCCACGCACGAAACGGACAAAAAAAAAACACAGGGAATGGACGTCCGAGCGATCCGAGCATTTTCTTTGGGTGGAGGGCAAAGGGTGAAATCTGAAATGCCGCTTCGATGGGTGCTCGAGGCTTGAATATGCAAAAGGTGACTCACGAGACGGCTGGATCTTCGAGGTGCAGAAGCCCATGGGGATTTCACCCTGAGCCCTCCACCCTAAGAAGATTCTCAGGCGATGGCCAGCACATCATTCAAGCAGGTCCCACTACACCCAGTTGTGCCAACGCCCCAGATCTCAGCTCGATCGGGTGAATATTACTATCGAAAAGCACTGTGGCGGGATCGGCCTTTTCGAGTCATCTTGATGCACGCTAACGATTTTGCGAACATAACTCGAGCTCTAGGACGGCTACAGAGCTGGTAGGCACAGCTAATCGATGTAGAATGAAAAGGCGCAGGGAGCTCCGCCGCCAGGCCCCCGCGGGAGGGTCCGCGCGCGGCCCCTCCCGCGCCCCGGGGGGCCCCCCGCGGGCGCTCCACCGCGGGCCTTTCGGTGCGACGGCCCGCGCGGGGCCCCCCCGCCCGCTGCGGCAGAGGCCCCCGCGCGTGCCGCGGCCTCGCGGGGAGCCCTCCCGAAGGCCCCGGTCGAAGCTCAGAACACACAGACACAATTAATCGTCCATTCCCCCGAAAATCTGGGAGCATATGGGCAGTGGGGGGGAAGACAGAGGCCCAGAAAAGATGGCAACATATGGGGCATCCTTTATTTGTGTGTATTTGTTTGTGTGTCCCAGGGCCCCTTCAGAAGCGTCCACATGATTCCCCCCCCCCACACCTCGGCACACCCCTCACCTTGGCATCGCTCGGACTTGTGCAGCTTTCCTTCGGCGAGGACCATTTGAGGAGCATCCCTGATCCTTGGGCGAAGAATCCACGCGCGAAGCCGAACAAAAAAACACAGGGAAGGGACGTCCGTGCAATGGCCAGTCACCTGCTTGGCGGCTAGGGTTCTGCTGTTCCAAGCTACTTCAGCCTGGATCACCAGAACGATCTCCGAGCACCAGGACAAAAAACACCGAACCTGGAGGGCTTTCACGAGTCGGGCCCTGGGAGGCGAGACTCCTTCGACGCTGTGTCGACACTCTTCTGGGTGCTCGAAATTCTTTCTGGGGTGTGGCCCCTTCGATGGGAGCAACGTAAGTCAAGAGATCTCCACCGGCGGCCCCAGTGGAACGGTCCACATGCGCCACCCCGCCCACTCCGGCGCACCCCTCGCACGCTTCGTGGCCCCATGGGGTGCGCCACCGGCGGCCCCAGCGGGAGAGTCCACACGCTGCACCCCTGCCCGTTGCGGCACACACACACACACACACACACACACACACACACACACACACACACACACACACACACACACACACACACACACACACACACACACACACACACACACACGCCTCACACGCTTCGTGGCCCCACAGGGAGCTCCACCGAAGGCCCCAGGGGCAGTGCTCCCATGCGTCACCCCACCCGTCTCAGCACGATCCTCCCACGCCTCGTGGCTCCATGGGGAGCTCCACCGACGACGATGCTCACAACTGCGTTACCCACATCGGCGTATGGTCTGCTCTTTTGCAAGGGCTACTGTTTTGCAGGGAAGGTTAGCTTGCGCGCAGCCGGCAATCTCAGGCACTCCTGGCGCCCCTGTCAAAAACCCGTGCAGAGTGGTCGCGGGGCGCTCGCGCATGCTCCAACTTTGTCGGAAGCACAGAGCAGACAACGTGAGGGCACCCCCGCCGTCGCCGTCAAGACCCATGCAAGGTGATCGCGGGGCGCCCGCGCGTGGCCCAGGTGTTGCCGCAGCGTGCACGGCGTATTTGCTTTGGTCAGGGATCGTGAGCCTGCAGAGAGCAGCCATTACGAGAGCACCTCCCTCGCAGTCCTAGAGGTTGACACCAACACCAGTATCGGCGGTGTGCCTCCATCGAAGGAAGAAGATCCCGATCCCGGTGATGGTGGTAATATTCTGGCTTCCAAAGTGGCCGAAATATTACCACCAACACCGAAATCTAGGATCACCTTCCCCCTGTGGAGGCAACCCCCTGTGTTGGTGTTGGTGCCCATTTCCATGCCTCCAACTCCCCGCAGCCCTCCCTGTCACAAACGGATGCAAAAGGATCACGGGCGCCCGCGCATGAACCAGCTTCTGCCACACAGTGTGCTTTGCGTTGTGTGCTGACAGGGAGGTGGGTCTGCGCAAAGCGGACTGTTTGAAGTCACGGCCCCCGTCCCTGTCAAGAGCCAGCGCAGAGTGTTCGCGGAGCGCCAGACGGGTCGTCCCGAATCGTTTTTGGACGGTCTCGTGGCCCAGTGAGGGCCCCTGGAGGCAGAAGGTTGGCAAACATGTCTTGCCAATATCGTGAAGGCCTCACGGCCGGCGCTGTCGACCCCGTCCGCCAGGACGAGGAGGAGGACGAGGAGGAGGACAAGGATGAACGCTCCATGTTGTTGCAGCACGTCCGCGACAATTCGCTGTACACGAGGACGAGGAGGGAGAGGAGGATGAAGAGGAGGAGCACGAGGAGCTGGAGGGAGGAGGCAGAAGTTTGGCAACAGAGCCTCCTGTCGCGACTCCTCGCCCGCAGCGAGAGAGATGACGAACCAACAGCGCACACCCATACCCATAGGGGGGTGGGAGAGGGCTAGAGGCGCGTGCGTGTTGTCGGATGGAGGTCCCCGCTCGAACGGGAGCGTTCCCCAGGGTCCGACAACCCGCACCCATACCCACAGCCAGTCCTCCTCCCAACGACCCCCCTAATGGGTACTCCAGATCTCGTTATAAGAGGGAGGGGGTCTGGACCCTCCAAGACAAGCCATTTCAGACCCCCCCCCCCCGTGGGAGAACCCTCCAAAACATCGTCCCCAGACCCCCCCAGGCCCTCCAAGATAGCCTGGGAGAGACCCCCCCCCCGAAATGAGACCCCCTCCCTTTTATTACGACATCTGGAGTATGGGTGTGTGCTCTTCGCTCGCCGCGAGAGGAGGACGGGCCCCCCCCGGGGGCGGGCCGGGCTGCCTCTGGCCATCCGCCGTCGCGCTGCTGCGAGGCGTTGGGCCCCCCGACCTCTCGACCACATTCCCAGGACGTTGTTTTTTGTTGTTGTTGTTGTTGAACATTATTAATTCTAAAGAATAATTATTGTTGGGACCCCTGGTGCGCGACCCCCTCGCCGCGCCTAGGCCGCAGCCACGTTTTCATCATTTTCGTGAGGAAGCCTCAGGTAAAACGATGTGATCCAGATCCGGTTGTTTTGTTGTAATCCGTTTTCCCTTGCAAAAAACACTATAAAATGACATTTCTTGTTCTAATATAATCAAATTTCAAGAATCCCTTGCAAAAAATAAGGTAAAGTGGACATTCGCGCGCGCAAGACGAAATCCTTCCAAAAGCTTAGTGTTCGGAGCGATTTTAACATAAAAACATCAAAAAACCAATGGTTTTTCAAAAAAAAATGTCAAATTTCATCCCGCGCGCTCTTGCGGATTCGTAGGAAACCCAACACTTTTTAAACATTTCTGTCAAACGGGCTTTTGCGAGCAACTTTTTCGAACTTCTGCGACAACGGTTGCGCACCTGCCAGGGCCATCATCCCTGTCAAATAATACCATGCGGGACACATTCGTTTTTTCTTCGCGCGCGCACGCCGTCGTCGTCGGCCGCGGGGCCCTGAATAGTAGCCACGGTCGTCCGCATGCCACGAAGTGAAGTGTCCGAACGTCATAGGGCGGGAAGCTGGGTGTGGGTGGTGGCGAAGAGTCGTTTGGAAATTTGGTAGAGCTTGAACCGGCCCCCCCACAAAGTGGGGGTATTGCCCGCCTCCTATGAAAACCCTGGCACTGGTGAGAACGGAGTGTCCCCACGTGCTAGTAATTGTTGTTGTTGTTGTTGTTGTTGTTGTTGTTGTTGTTGTTGTTGGTGGTGGTGTTGTTGTTGTTGTTGTTGCTGTTGTTGTTGTTGTTGTTGTTGTTGTTGTTGTTGTTGTGTGTGTGTGTGCGTGCGTGTGTGCGTGCGTGTGTGTGTTCTGTTTGTCTTGCCGTGAGGTTGTCTGTCTCGAAGAAGAAAGAAAACGAATAAGAATAATAATAAGCCGGAGAAGACGGAGAAGACGAGTAGTACTGAAACGCTTCATAATCAGACTCAGCAAAGAGGGAATAATCATGAGCACAGGATGCAGAACAACCGCACGAAAGAGTAACCGACACGCCATGAAGACAAACGTACGGTGCTCCGCGCGGATCTCTTGGATCCGCGCAGGACCCCCCCGGCGGCGCCTCCCGCGCCGCCCCTGGCGCGCTCCGCGCGCGGGTCCGGCGCGGAGACGAGAAATCCGCGCAGAGCGCCAGAAGTTTATTGTTATGGCGACTGCTCGTCGTTTATCGTTTTTTTGACTCGAAGAAGAAAGAAGATGACGATGAAGAAGAAGACGAAGAAGAAGACGAATACTAATACTTCTAAAATAATAACAAGAACAATACTGTTACCAATGGTATAACAACGCCATGAACATAATTTGTTGGTGCTCCGCGCGAATCTCGTGGATCCGCGCAGGACCCCCCTGGCGGCGCCTCCAGCGAATGCTTTCTTTATCAACGTTTGACGGCCGGCACTGAGGCCTGGCAAGGGCCCAGGGAGGCCGAACAACTGCCCAAGGCCTCCGAATCGCACTCTTGTGCACGCTGGTGGCCCGAGCAGTTTTTCCAATTCGCAGCGAGAGGAGCTCCTCCTCCTCCACCTCCTCCTCTTCCTCCTCTTCATCCTTCTCCTCCTCCTCCTCCTCCTCCTCCTCCTGGGGACTGTCTTCTCATTCCCGGCGGTAGCCCGGGTCCGCGGGCCCGCCCGTCCCCCCCCCCCAAGGCTTGTCGGCTGCGCGGGTCCGAATGCGAGTGCGCAGCATTGGCGCGCGCGGGCGTGCGTGGGGCTGCCCAGAGCGAAGAGGTTACAGTGCCGTTTTTAATACATGCTCCGCGTGCGGATCATGTATAAAAAATGCAGGGATTCAGCATTAAAAGCAACGATGAGTTCATGCATACATTCATTCATAAATTACTCATGCATTACAAATTCTATATTTTTTAAGCATCCGATGTATTAAAGACTGCCCTGTAGCATATCGATCAGCACCTCCCTCCCCGCCACATGACCCTGGCCATCGCCCAAAGATTGAAACCAATCTCCTGGCCCAGACCCCCGACGTTGTGACTCGCGTCGGCCGAGCCCCAGACAGAGGTCTGGACCCATTCCCCGGGACCGGTTTTTCATCCTGAGCCGTTCTTTTGACAGCCCCGAGGCCCGGCGAGGCCCCCCCGAGGCCGAAACTGGCAAACGATTTCTCGTCGCGATTTTTCCACAACGCGAGGGGGCCGAGGGGGGGAGGGCTCAGGAACTATATTCTTGGGGGCACGGCTTCAAAAGATGCGCCGCCAAAATGAACCATTTCGGGGCGGGGGTGCCGTGGGTCATTTTTCGCGGGATGTCTCTGGCCAAACCGACGAGACCGTCCATTTGTGGTAAATGTCTACACGCATTTTGGAAAAAGGGGTGCCGTATGTAATTTGTCCGACCCCCTTCCCGGAATGGTTGAGAGGTTGCTTCCTTTTTGGAAAATCCCAAACCGTTCTGTTTGGGGCGCGCTTCCGGGCCCATTTCTAGCAGCCGTGCCCTTGGGAATATTACGTGCTAGAGGGGGCCAGAGGGGGGGGCTCCCAGGGGCGGACCTGCTTGCTCCTCGGATAGAGAACAAAAAACATCAACAGGGGGGCCACTTCCAGCCAGGAGGTACACGATGCCTCCCAGAGCCGGAGGCTGTGGATGTCTCGAGCGAGAGGGGGGGACCACAACACCAGGGAGACCCCCCTTGCCTCCTCGCATCTCCTCGCCCTGGTGGTGTTGGTGTAGCCTTTCCTTGTTCCTAAGCCTGCTCTCGAGGCTGGTGTGCCTCGGCCCCTTCCTCGAGGCGTTCCTGTCCCGCGCGCTGGGGCGGGCGGCGCCGCCCGCGCAGTCCGCGGGCACCGCCTCGGCGCGGGAGCCGGCGCCCCAGGGGGGGCGCCCAGGAAGAGTCGGGGAGGCACGCCTCAAGCAGTGGCGAGGCGTCCTGGCTTGCCTCTTGGCCTACCAAAGACTGTTCTAAAAACCTTTTTGTGGTCTGCGCGCAATGTTCTTAGAACATGTCTGGCTGAGTCTGCCTTGTTTGAGCACAGCGGCTTCATGTTCTAAAAACACTGTCACTATTTCGTTTTTAGAACAGCGCTGGGTTCTAATAAAAGTTCGTGGTAGGCCTATAGAAATGCTGGGACGGTCGGTCCCTGCTCAAGCTCCGGGCACCCAGTGTCGGAGGCTGCCAGAAGGGTCCGTTGGACAAGGTTGGTTTCGCTGGACTCGAGGTCCCTCCAGCCCGACCTCAGGCACTCCAGCAAGACCTGAGGCGCCCCAGCAGCCGTCGAAACCACCCCTCTTGATCCAGACCCTCTCGCCGTCCTCGACAGTGGACGTTCCTGGAAGTATTGGTCACTTCGTCTGCGTCCCATCCGTGCGCCGCTTGGCCTTGCAGACAAGTGCAACCAAGAAAGTTCTGAATCATACGATTTACATATTGCGAAACGCGAACAGTCGCCGTCGACGGTGACACGCGAGAAGACTTGGAAGTATTAGAAAGAGCGTGTTCTACCGCTGCTGGCGGAAAACCGGGGGGGGTCACTACCGGTTCGAACCCCTCCCCCCCCCCTCCAGAAAACCGGGGGGGTCATCACTACCGGTTCGAACCCCTCCCCCCCCCCAGTTCATCATGAAAAGGGGGGGGGGGTCACTACTGGTTCGAACCCCCCCCCCCCCCCTCGAACTCGAAAACCGGGAGGGGGTCACTACCAGTTCGAACCCCCCCCCCCCTCGGAAACCGAGGGGGGGTGCGGACAGTGGTGGGGACGGTGGTGGTGGGGACAGTGGTGAGGGGACAGCGGGACAGTGGTCGGGACGGTAGTGGTGGGGACAATGGTGAGGACAATGGTGGGAACAGTGGGGACAGTGGGACAGTGGTGGAAACAGTGGTGGTGGGGACAGTGGTGTGAGGAAATGACAAGGAAAAAAAACGAAAAAAGAAAGAACAAAAAATAAAATAATCCCAAAAAAACTGGATGGGGAATGTGTGTGGACAGGTGGGGCAGTTGGAGGGTACAGTGGTGGTTGGACTTGGTAAGGCGGTGGGCGAGGACGGCGGTGGGACATGGGACAGAGGTTCAGTGGGGACAGTGGTGGGGACAGTGGGGACAGTGGTGGGAACAGTGGGACA